TGGAGGAAGAGCATTCTTCAAAAGTGTCATAAAATACAAAGAAATGCTATGAAGTGTTCCAGATCAAAGGACACTAAAGAGACATGACAACTGAATGCAATACTTGACACTAAACTGGATTCTGTACTGAAGGAGAAAAAATCCCTTATGACATTATAGACTCAATTAACAAAATTGGAGCCAGGCGTGGTGGCTCATACCTGTAATCTTAGCACTTTGGGAGGCTGAGGCTGGCTGATCACCTGCGCTTAGGAGTTTGAGACCAGCCCGGCCAACATGGCGAAACTCCATCTCTACTAAAAATATAAAAATTAGCCGGGCATGGTGGCAGGCACCTGTAATCCCAGCTACTCAGGAGGCTGAGGCACAAGAATTGCTTGAACCCGGGAGATTCTGTCTGGGAGGTGGAGGTTACATGAGCTGAGATTGCACCACTGCACTCCAGCCTGGGCAACAGAGTAAGAATCTGTCTCACAAAAAAAAAAAAAAAAAAAAATTGGGCTGGGCACGGTGGCTCACCTGTAATCCCAGCACGTTGGGAGGCTGAGGCAGGCAGATCACGAGGTCAGGAGATCGAGACCATCCTGGCTAACACAGTGAAACCTCGTCTCTACTAAAAATACAAAAAAATTTAGCCAGGCGTGGTGGTGGGCGCCTGTAGTCCCAGCTACTTGGGAGGCTGAGGCAGGAAAATGGCATGAACCTGGGAGGCAGAGCTTGCAGCGAGCCAAGATCACACCACTGCACTGCAGCCTGGGCTACGGAGTGAGACTCCATCTCAAAAAAAAAAAAAAAAAATTGGAATACAAGTGGTAGATTAAATAAACTAATTATAGTAAGACACTGGCCAGGCATGGTGGCTCACACCTGTAATCCCAGCATTTTGGGAGGCTGAGATGTGAGGATCACCTGAACCCAGGAGTTCGAGACCAGCCCGGCTAACATAGCAATAGCTCATCTTTACAAAAAATAGAAAAAAAAATTAACCGGGTTTGTTGGTGCACACCTGTGGTTTCAGCTACTCAGAGGGCTGAGATAGGAGGATCACTTGAGTCCAGGAGATCCAAGCTGCGGTGAGCTGTGATTGTGCCACTGCACTCTAGCCTGAGTGACAGAGTGAGACCATGTCTCAGAAAAAAAGAAAAAAAAAGACAATATGTTGATAACTGTACTTGGGTTGTATAAGATAATAGCCCTATTTTTAGCAAATACACACAGAAGCATATAGTGGTAAGGGGTCATGATATATATAATTCACCTTCAAATGGTTCAAAAACTTATGTACACACACATATACACGTTGCAGGGGGTGGCAGGAAATGATAAAGGACATGGAATAAAGTATTTACAATAGGTGAGTTTGAGTAAAGGGCGTATAGATATTCTTTATCCTATTTTTATTTGTACAACTTTTCCATAAGTTTGAAATTATTGGCTGGGCATGCGGCTCATGCCTGTAATCCCAGCACTTTGGGAGGCCAAGGCAGGAGGATCACTTGAGGTCACAAGTTCGAGACCAGCCTGGTCAACATGGTGAAACTTTGTCTCTACTAAAAATACAAAAATTAGCCAGACGTCGTGGCGCATGCCTGTAATCCCGGCTACTCAGGAGACTAAGGCACAAGCATTGCTTGAACCCAGGAGGCAGAAGCAGTGAGCCAAGATCATGCCGCTGCACTCTAGCCTGGGCAACAGAGGGAGACTCCATCTCCAAAAGACAAACAAACAAACAAAAAAACCCAGAAATTATTAACAAATGAAAATTTTAAAAAAATAAATAAAAATGTTAGAGGCTAGACTCTCCACAGCCAGCTCACTCTCACCCTCTGTATTGTAAACACTTGCATGAGGCTTCAGGCAACTTTCAGACTGACAAGGAAGTTTACAGCACCCAGCCCATAATGGGAGTGTCCTAATGAGTGATGAACGCTTATGGTGTGCAACAGCTCTTTCTTCTTCTTCTTTTAAATGACCTGGTCAGCAGGAAGTAGCAAGAGCTTCTTAATAGAACATTGAGGGAGCCAAGTGGGAGAGGCTCAACCAGCTTTTGAACCGGAATAATCTCCAAGAAGTCACAACCTTTTTTGTTCTGCCCTCTTTACCTGCAGGTGGATTCATCAGGGTGCTTCGGGTTGAATGTAACTAGACTGGGTCAAGACGGCCTTAAGTGACTAGAGCACTTAGTATCACCTCAGGTAACAATACACCAATAGGTGGGCTGTTTCAGGGTTGGCTGTTTCAGCGTCTCAGTTCTGGGGTATTGGATTAGCTTGTTACTGGACAGGGGTCCCAATCCAGACCCCAAGAGAGGGTTCTTCAATCTCGTGCAAGAACAAATTCAGGGCGAGTCCGCATAGTAAAGTGAAAGCAAGTTTATTAGGAAAATAAGGGAATAAAGAAAGGCTACTCCATGGACAGAGCAGTCCTGAGAATGACTGGTTGCCCATTTTTATGGTTATTTCTTGATCATATGCTAAACAAGGGGTGGATTATTCATGCCTCTCCTTTTAGACCATATAGGGTAACTTCCTGATGTTGCCATGGCATTTGTAAACTGTCAGGGCGCTGGTGGGTGTGTAGCAGTGAGGATGACCAGAGGTCGCTCTCATCGCCATCTTGGTTTTGGTGGGTTTTAGACGGCTTCTTTACTGCAACCTGTTTTATCAGAAAGATCTTTATGACGTGTATCTTGTGCTGACCTCTTGTCTCATTCTGTGACTTAGAATGCCTAATTGCCTAAGAACATAGCCCAGTAGGTCTCAGCCTTATTTCATGCAGCCCCTACTCAAGATGGAGTTGCTCTGGTTCAAATGCCTCTAAGCTTCTGAAGGATTCCTCATGGTCTCAAAATGGCTGCTGCAACTTCAAATGTCACATTCTAGCACAGCAATGTCCAAAGGCTGGAAGAATATGTTTATGAGAGAAAAGAAGCTGGGAGGTGGGAAAGTCTCTCTCTTTTAACAGAAAGGAACATCCTTCCCAGAAACCCTCAGCAGACCTCCACCAAAGCCTCAACTGCCAGGACTGCTTCCAATGCTTACTCCAAGACTGTCCACAGGATTCCTATGGCTGGCTCAGACCAATCAGAATTAATTTCCTGCTCCTGACGTGTTGCGTTTCATTCCAACAAAATTAGGTTCTGTTGGCAGGGGAGAAGGGGAGTGAAGTAATCAACAGAATCTCTTTTAGGACTTTATAGGTTGGTACAAAAGTAGTTGTGGTTTTTACCATTTCTTTTTAAAAAATGGCAAAAACCACAATTACTTTTGACCTAACCTACTATTTATTTATTTATTTATTTTCTGATACAGGGTCTCATTCCATCACCCAAGCTAGAGTACAGTGGCATGATCATAGCTCAGTGCTGCCTCGACCTCCCAGGCTCAATTGATTCTCCCACCTTAGCCTGCTGAGTAGCTGGGACTACAGGCACATGCCACCACGCCTGGCTAAGAGTGGTATTTTCTGTAGAGATGGGGTTTCGATACATTGCTCAGACTGGTCACAAATTCCTGGGTTCAAGTGATCCTCCATCCTTGGCCTCCCAAAGTTCTGAGATTACAGGCATGAGCCACCACACCCTGCCATATGGCTTTGATGATTTCCTTAGTGGGCACCATGGATCTGTTTTTGTGATCTGGACCAAAAACCAACTTGGACTTCCCAGAGTGCTGAGATGCCCAGAGCACCAAAACATGAGAGGAAGATTTATGGCCTAGACTAGACTATACTGGACACCAATTTCTTTGGGAAACTTCCCCTCCCTCGCTTCCACTCCCTGCAGTTCAGGTGAGGCTGTTTCTACCCCTTGGTTCCACCAATAAGCATGTGACCAGGCCTGGACAATCAAAGCATTGCCTTCTTTGAGTGACAATGATTGGTTCAGAGACGCGCCATGACTTGTGTTCGTCCAATCAGAGTGAATGCTGCAACTTCAGCAGCATTTCCAGGAAGTGACCCCCTTTCCCACCACACTGATACCTGGCAGGATGCAGGCCTGGAGCTAGTGGTTGCCAGCTTGCTATCAAGTAGAGACTAAGACTGGAGCCAACTCACTGAAGAGCAAAGCCAAGAGATGGCGAGAGACTATGTCTGGTAACCTCATTTGAGTTCCTGAATCCAGCCAGGTCTGAAGCCAGTACTTTTCAGTTACTTACTCCAGTACTTTTCAGTTACTTAAGCCAATAAATTGCTTTTTGCATATAAATCAGTTTTAAATGGGGCTTCTGTCATTTACAAATAAAAGAATGCTAGGCTGGGCACAGTGGCTCATGCCTATAATCCCAGCACTTTGAGAGACCAAGGTGGGAGGACTGTTTGAGCTCAGGAGTTTGAGACCAGCAACATAGCGGGACCCCCATCTCTATCTAAAAAAGAAAAAAAAAAGTATATATACAAATAAAAGAATCCCAAGTTTCTCAGTGTTTTGAGAAATATGTTTGAAATACAAATTGAAAACATGTTTGAAAGACAAATTCCCAGGTAACTGAGACACCTGTCCTGGGACCTGAACCTCCACCTTTGGAACAAGCTCCTCCAGGACCCCTAACAAGTAGGTAGTCCTGCCTTTATAGTCTGAGACCCTCTGACGCAGACTTTGGGGAAGGATGGTCTCTTAATTCTGCATGGGAGACAAAAGAGACCCAGTCCTTTCCATCACAAAGCCCCAACTACCTTCTTGGCAAAGAGTAGGGAAATGCCTTTCATTCTTTCCCAGTGACCCTGGAATTGAGTAAATGAAAGACAGTTGGTTTCCCAATCAGGTTATTCCACCACGTTGAACTTTTGGTAACTGTCCTTGCCCCATCGTGTTGCTAAAGCATTCAGGTTGAACAGTGTTCAGGAAGAACACTCAAGCAAAAACTGGTTTGCAGCCAAATCCAGAGACTGCAAACCCCAGTGGTTTCAGGGGCCAGGCAGGGAGAGTAAACATGTGAAACAATAGGGAGTAGTCCTGTCTGCGGGGGACAGAAGAGTTCTCATGCCCCAGCCTAATAAATGAAAAAATTATTTACACCGCAGTGGAACCAAAGATGCACCTAAAGCCATTGGGATGTGGTTTCTCTTTTTCATCTCACTGCTGTGTGTCTGATGTGGCTTCATTCTCAGAGGATTGTGGGCTCACAAGCCAACATCCTGATAGTTTAGAAACCACAGCAGAAATGTTTCTCTTTCTCAATTGTTTCAACATCAATCCTGGATGAAACTGTTATTGGCCTCGTTTGAGTTCAGGTGGTCATCCCTGAACCATCACTGTACCTGAAAGAGGTATGGCGGTGTCGTTGGCCAGACCTGAGTCTGACGCATCCTGGAGTGGAGTTCAGGCCCACTTTAACCACATAGACTGAGAATGGGGAATGGGAAAGTAGGTTTCATGCCTTTGTTTGGGCTCCCTCAGAAGCAGACTCTGAGTTGAGGATTTGAGGTGCAAATGGATTATTTGGAAGATGATTCCAGAAAGCACCATTAGGGGATTGAGGGAATGAGCCAGAGAAAAGAAGCCTGCTGAAACAGGAAGTATTATCAAGCAAGTTACCACTGTGGACAACTGGAGCACAATCCCATCAGTGAACTCTGCCAGCCAGTGTAGAGCATCGTTTTAGTCTATTTTGTGCTGCTATAACAGAATTCCACAGACTGGGCAATTTAAAACAATAGAATTTTATTTGGCTCATGGTTATGGAGGCTGGGGAGTCCAAGGGCATAGTGCTGGCATCTGGCAAGGGCCTTCGTGCTGCATCATTCATGATGGAAGGTGAAAAGGTAAGAGAAGGCAAGGGTGAGCAAGAGATTGAACTCGCAGCCTCAAGACCTTTCACAATTGGCATTAATCTGTTCTCATGAGGGCTCCATTAGGCTCCACTCTCCAGCACATTTGAATTGGGGATTAAGTTTCCAATATATGCTTTTGGGGGTACACATTCAAACCATAGCAAACATAGACTTCAGTGTTATCCCATCTTAAGGCTGAGGGAGCTGGGGTATTTATCTACCAACTCTGTCAGTCATTGTCTGACAGTTGCTACCAGGAGTGTTTTTGCCCAGAACTTCCAGCATGGAAGAGCAAAGTGGTCCCTGCTGGTCTGAGAAAGTCCTCAGACAAAGAGATGAAGCTTGGACCAGGGTGCATTGAAGGTTAGGACAATGGCCAGGGCACCAATAGCCTTAGGTTCATTGTCTGAAGGAAAATTGGGGTGCTAGGATCAGAAGAAGGCACTGATGTTGCACAGGTCAAACAAACATACGTTCATCCAAGGAGTGAACTGGTTGGCCCACTCACTGTCTGAGTCCATTAACCAAGCAGTGGCAGTGAAGGGTATACTCTGTTGCTTTAAGAAACTGGCATGGAAGCTGAACTTGTCACTTTTGTTCACATCTCATAGGCCAGGATGTGATCAAATGGCCATATCTATATGTGGGGAAATGTAGCTTTTGACTGTCCAGCCAAATCTCAGGGATTATGGCTGGGTGTGGTGGCTCACTCCTGTAATCCCAGCACTTTGAGAGGCTGAGGTGGGAGGATTGCTTAAGCCTAGGGGTTTGAGACCACCCTGGGCAGCAAAATGAGACTCTTGCCTTTACAAAAAAAACCCAAAAAAACAAAAAAACAATGTTTAAACTACCTGGGCATGTTGGCACATGCCTGTAGTCCTGGCTACTTGGGAGGCTGAGGCAAGGGAATTGCTTGGGCTCAAGAGTTCGAGGCTGCAATGAACTATAATCATGCCCCTGCACTCTGGCCTGGGTGACAGAGTGAGACCCTGTCTCAAAAAAAAAAAAAAAAATTACAGGGATTCTGCTACTTAAAAAAGGGGGAGGAAGGGCCAAATGTTTTTTCCTGGCAAGACTTTGTGTTTATATTTCAGAAGGAATGCCTTCCCAGTGGACTTCAACCTACATCTCATTATCCTGAACCGTGTCTCACTGCCTCCACTGGAGAACCAAGTATTTAGCTTCCTGGTCTCTCTAATAGAAGAAGGCAAGGGGAAGGGGATTGGGAGTGGGCAGTTTGGGCAGGATGATCAACGATCCTGGTTCGCCTGGGACTAAGGATATTCTGGAGACATGGGATTTTCAGTGGTAAAACCAACCTCCAGGATCTGCAGCCATACCCCATGTGGCTTGAGACCTCAACTCCAGTTGGAGAGATGTTATCCTCTCTGTCACCTCCTCCTCCTAACAACCTTCTCTTTCTCTTCACCACTTCCTCTTCAACTGAAAGGTGGCCAGGTCCTCTGCTATGCCCTACATCCACTTATACTCTGTCCTCATGGTTGGACCTCCTTGGCCCTCAACTCTGCCCTGACTTCTGGGAACTTCAGTGGTGCCAGAGCCTCTGTCCAGCTCTCAGCATCTCCCTTACCTCCGCCATCTTGTTTCCAGCCATCTTGGGTCCTTGGAGTCCAGAGTTTGCAGAAGTGGAAATGGAGAAGCTGGAGAGAGAAGGTACTCACTGGTCTCACTGAAACAGTCAGGACTCAAGCTCTCAGCCCAAGGCTCTTCGCTCTGCACTCCTCAAAATCTTTGGTGCCTGTTGTTCAACTAGCTTGACATTTCTCCACCTCTGAGGTGATGACCTCCCTCCAAGATGCCTGCAGTCAGAGGGCAGGAAGCGTGGCACATAATGGGGCCTCAAGAAACACTGCAAAATACCTCTAGGACCCCCTTCTGGCTCTCAAATGATCTCGGGGACAACTCGGCCTATCCAAACAGAAAGAATTCAGGATTATTTCCCTCCTCAAACCTGTTCCCTTACTACCTCCTGAGCGGTAGGGGTGGTTTGGACCCCAATAATGACATTTATATATAACTTGGAGTTTATTATTTTTTCTTTCTTTCTTTCTTTCTTTCTTTTTTTTTTTTAAGACAGAGTCTTGCTTTGTCGCCCAGGCTGGAGTGCAGTGGCACGATCTCGGCTCAGTGAAACCTCCACCTCCCAGGTTCAAGCAATTTTTGTGCCTCAGCTTCCTGAGTAGCTGGGACTACAGGCATGTGCCACTGGGCTGGGCTAATTTTTGTATTTTTAGTAGAGACAGGATTTCGCCATATAATTTGGAGTTTCACAACACCAGCACTATTTAGATTTTGGGTCAAATAATTCCTGAATGGGGATGGGGGTGCGGGCTGTCCTATTCATTATAGGAGGTTTAGGGGCAGACCTGACTTCCACTCACTAGATGCCCAGAGAACCCTCCTCCCCAATTTTGTCAGTGCCTCCAGACATTGCTAAATGTCCACTGGGAGACAAAAATCACTCCTGAACCACTGATCTAGACAGTCAGTATTTTCTTAATATAAAAAGTGGGGCCAGGCGCAGTGGCTCACAAAGTGCTGTAATCCCAGCACTTTGGGAGGCCGAGGGGGGCGGATCACGAGGTCAGGAGATCGAGATCATCCTGGCTAACACGGTGAAACCCCACCTCATCCTCTACTAACAATACCAAAAAAAATTATAGCCGGGTATGGTGGCCAGAACGCGCCTGTAAGTCCCCAGCGTACTCGGGAGGCTGAGGCAGGAGAAGCGCGTGAACTCCAAAGGCAGAGGTTGGGCATTGAGACCGAAGATCACGCCATGTACCTCCCCAGCCTGGGTGACAGAGCAAGACTCCTGTCCTAAAAAAAAAAAAAAAAAAAAAAAGGAAGGGGAGCAACCCCATGCCAACTTTCAGAACAAACCGAGTCGCATTTCATTGAGTGCGATCTGAGTGCCACCTTCCCTATGGAAAAAACCTCAAGCTCACCAGCTCCAATGTGCAGCTTGGAAAGCGAAGGCCCCTGGCAACCCTTGCCCATTCAGGCCTTGGGCTTCCTCAAGTGGGTCAGGCAGCTCAGAAGATTCTGGCGGCCCAACTGCCACTCTCCCCGCCACCCCCGCCCCTCTCCATGGCAGAACAATGGGACCACCTCCTCCCTGGCCTCTGACCTTCCTTCAGCCCGCCAGCACTTTACTCGCATTTTCCTGACGGGCTTATGTGTGGGCCACCCCTTTGTTTGTGGGCTAAGTCATACAGAAAATGCACTATCTGGTCCCCTACCCCTGACGGCAGAAAAGAAAAAA